GCCCCGCGCCCCCCTGCCGCCGCCCCCGCGCCGCTGCCCGCCCTTGGCCGGCCGCGAGTGGTCGATCCCCGCCTCCCGCGCCGCCTGGAACATCGCATCCCGCAACTCCTCAGCCCCCCAGGCGTCGTCCACCCGCTCGTCCCCAATCGCCTCCCGCCGCAGAGCCGTCAAATGCGCCGTGCTGCCGAGTGACACCCCCAAATCGTGCGCCAGCGTCCGCACGTAGGTGCCCTTGCTGCACGTCACCCGGAAGTGGACCGCCTGGCGGTCGGACGCGTCGCGGGTGACGGAGAAGGCGTGGACGGTCACCGGGCGCGCGGGGCGGTCAACGGTTACGCCGTCGCGGGCTAGCTCGTGGAGGCGCCTGCCCTGGTGGTGCAGGGCCGAAAACATGGGGGGCACCTGGCAGTTGTTTTCGAGAGAGGAGGTGGAGGGTGGCGGGGGATGAGTCCATGAGCGTTGGCTTGGGGGGGAGGGGCTGGGGGAGGAGGGGGTAAGGGAGGGCAGGTGCAGGACCCATTGATGAGGGGCGCCCCGGCCGGGGAGGGGAGAGGGAAGTTGGGCATGGGGCACGAGAGCTTTACGGGGTGCAGGTGGCGCATGTGGGACGGGGAGCGCTGAGCGTTGCAGGGGTATCAGCCGCGGCGACGACGGCGAGCGCGGGGCCCTCGCTGCTGCGAGCACCACGCGCGAGCAGGGGCAGGTCTGTCTTCCGTGGTGCCCACGAGCTTCCCACTCGAAGCAGATTCAGGACCCTGCGATAATCTGCAACCCGAGCCCTGAAAATATCTGCACTCTGACCCCTAAAACCATCTGCACGATGGTGTTCCACCTTGGTGCCTCCTCGTCCGAGGAAAAGCTGAGCCCAGGCGCCGCCCAGCCGCGCACAACCCCCTTCCCCATCCGCCGCCCCCACCTGCTCAATGTCGCCGGTCAGCTTCGATGCAGCTGCCGCCAGGTCGTCATCAGTCAGGTGCTCCCAGGGCAGCCGCTCCTCCACTGCCGTCTCTGAGTCCAGGGAGGGCGTCCCCTCCCCCAGCCTGAGGGTGCCTGTGTATTCCTTGGGCATCCCCATGAATGACTCGATGGCCTTGGTGGCGGAGCCTGTGGTGTGTGTATGTGTGTGTGTGTGTTTGTGTGTGTGTGTGTGTGTGTGTGACTGTGACTGTGTGTGTGTGTGTGTGTGTGTGTGTGTG